TCCGGGAGACAGTGGAAGACAGGAGGGCCTGGCGTGCTCTGGTCCATGCGGTCATGAAGAGTCGGACACGACTAAACGACTAGACAACGACCTTTACCGGAAGCGTAGTTCATATATTTTACCAGACCACTGAAAACTCAAGCACAAATACATTTTTTGGACTCCAGACTGCAATTTTTCTGCACTATCCATGGAAGCACAGCAATCAGCCTGATGAAGTGGAAACTTCTCCATGAAAGCTTACAATTTGTTTGTTTGGTTTTTTTCAAGTGGTCCAATAAAAGGCATCACCCACTCTTAACAGTTCTCAGGTGATGGGATCGTATCAGGTTTTCCTCAGCGTAGCCCCTAGACTGGCTGGGAGCAGAGCACACGGAAACACTTCCATGCCTGCTACTCACCTCAAGGCCTGGAGGCGCCGGTTCTCGGCATCATTCCACTCCATCAACTGATGATGCTTCTCTTCTTCCTTCCGCTGCTGCTGCTCCAGCTTCTTCATCTCCCACTGCCGAACCATCTCCTGTCTGAACTCACACCTAGTGAAGAGAGGAAAAGACAATGTAGACAGAAACTCCATACCTTTTGCAAATGATCCCCTTCCCGGCAGAGACACCTTGGAAGAGTCTCCGCGGGCCTCTGGCTGTTCTAAGTTCACACACACACCCAACTGCACCCCTGCCCAGAATATTCTAGCGGATGATTTAGTGACAACAGAACCTGCCCAGTAACGGTCGGCTGCTTGGCAAAACGTTCGGGAACCCTGAACAAAGGAAAGAGCATTTGCAAAAGAAAACCAGACTCTACCAATGTTCTTGTGACACCATCCTCTCTCACTGATGGTGTTGTTGGCAAACGACGTGACCGTTGCCTCCATCTGACTGTCCGGCTTTGGTCCATCCAGAGGAGGTACAAATGGCATTAGCAAACACCGTTCATACTTCCTTGGGATGTACAAAGCCCGACGGTCAGATGGAGGCAACCGTCTTATGCTGTTACAAATCCCTGGGACGGAGCTTGCCTGGGACGACCCGCCTCTTCTCGCGAAGGGTGCCTTTGGCACACAGGTGGATCCTGTAGAGGCTGGGACGCTCCCAAGGTCCTGATGGGGGCCCAGTCCTGACAGCCACGAGGCTGTAACTGGATGCGCGCCAACCACCGGATCCCTCTGCGGTTTGGGTCTCTTGGGAGTCAGATTCCCCCACCCCACCCCGTGGCGCCTCCTTGACAGGGACTGGACTCGATGATCCATGGGGTCCTTCCCAGCTCTGTAACTCCGAGATGATGATGAGGATGATGATTAAAGGCACTGTGCTGATCTAGATTTTGGATGCTCCATCAGAGAAGCTCAGGCACCTTCCCTTCACTGACCAGGGACACTTCCCCTTCCTTCCATCCCGGCGGCGGCGGTGGCCGAGACAACGCGGGGCGGAAGGGGAAGCCGGGGCGCCGGAAGTGGCCCCGGGAGGGGACACGACGGGAAACGTAGTCTCTGCGCTCTCCGCGCGCCACTTCCGGTCCACGGCGGAATAGGGCGAAAGGCCCGCCGGGAAATGTAGTCCTCTGGGCACGCCACACGGCCTCGGCGGGCCCACTCCGGGCCGTGGGTTCCCCCCTTAGTCGATCCCTCTCACATTGAGATGTTCCTCTTTCCCTGCGGCCTTTGTCCAAACGGTGGGCCGGTGCACGATGGGAAATGTAGTTCCTCTGGGCTCTTCCCCGCCCCAGCTCCTTATCTATCTATCTACCTGAATGAATGAATGGATAAATTCCTCCTTTCCTGTACCCATTCTTAATTGGGAGAGTAAAGATTCATTACAAACACAATTTATCTGTCTGTCTATCGTGTCATCTGGGATCCCATGTGCCCTTCACTTCAGTATTCTGTATCCCACATGCCACCACCCAAAATCCCATCCAAACCCAGGACCTTCAACAGGAACCATCTCAGGGAGAAAAGAGATTCCTCTCCCCCGAAAAGAGACGATACGTTTCTCTCTGGTGGCTTCAGAGTTGTGGAATGCGTTGCTCCGGGCTCACTTTGCCGCACGACTACACCATTGGGGACTGGGCCAGCGCAGGATGGGAAATGTAGTTCCCAGAATTTCCCAGTTCACAGAAGCTGAACAGTGGGCAATGCAGGAGGGATGAAAATAAGTTATTTGAACAGCACACACTTCAGCCAGAATTCACTGGCACAAAATGCAGTGGTGACTTACACTTAAAAATAACATTTAATAAATATATGGAGGTGATGGTCACTGAGTGGATTAGGTATCTGATTTGGGAGTTCAATTCCCCACTGTTCCTTCTGGGAGTAGAACCACGCTCTGTCGTCCCCTTCTCCTCTTGCCCTCGCACTTTCTCAACATCAGGGTCTTTTCCGGGGAGTCTTCTCTTCTCATGAGATGGCCAAAGTACTGGAGCCTCAACGTCAGCATGCCCTATCTTGTAACTGTGCATTCGGTTTCTTTTACCACTGCTATTTTTCCCCATACATATTGTGGATATTCTAATGTTTCCTACTGTTTTAATGTGGATTTATAGCAGTTTTTGATGGCTTCTTGAACGAAAAGACCCATATTCATTAATTAACTGTATTTTCCTTCTGTGCTCTCGCTACTTTATATACCAGATGAACAATAATGTGCACAATAGATCTGTGGATAACTTTACTGGAAAAAAAAACAGAACACAAAGTACAAGTTTTTGTTATTATACATCATTTATTTTGCACAATCTCGTTGGCCACTGGTTTCCAACATATATGTCTGCAGTGGAAAGACACATCTGTTCGATGTGATGTCATCACCCACAAGTTCATAATCTAAAAGTATTGTTGCATCATTGTGATTCCTGGGAATCTCTTCATTCTTGATCGCAAACCGAGTCTACCAGACAGCCCTCTGAAACAGCAAGAAAACATGTCAGAGAAACCAATGCAGACGAGTTCAGCATGTTCTATGTCCCATCGTTTCCTTCAAGAGGGTACTCTATCTTTTGGTGCATGTAGAACTCTTGGGAGATAATCATTATCATCATCCCTATCATATTTGAGCAGGGACTTTAGCAAATTATCCACTAAATAATATCCCCACAATCCAGAGATATAATTAAGAAATTTCTCATTCCCATGGGCTGCCCAGAGCATAGGCTCAATTTGTAAATGCATGAAATGAAGAATGTTTTGTTTTCACACGTACGTAGAATTATGGGGTGCCTGACTCATATAGCAAGTTCCTATTTGACTCCTCTCCACTTTTATGATAACTGTTTTTATGGCCACTGTAACCGGTGCAGCTGGTGCTGTAAACGGACACAGAGCAGAGATGGAATGGAGAAGAGAGAAGACGGTAGAGTTCAGAGGGAAATGTGTCCAGCAAGCGGGCTATAGAGAGGAGATGTGAGGGAGAGATGAAAAGATTGAGGAAACTGGAAAGGAGAGAGGAATGGAAAGGCAGCAGAAATTTCATTAATAAGGCATGGAAATTCTCTAGAAACCCCACCCCTATTTTAATATCAGGCCTAATAAGAACATGGGTTCGAATTCAACATGGCTTGTGGTACAACTCCCGGGAGGGAGATCTTCCGACTGTTACGAGTGACCACTCTGCTGCCGGGTGACGTTTAGGGTTCTGCCTGGCATGGCAGGATGGGTCTCACCGTTGTTGCAACAGATGCCGGCTGCAGCGCAGGTCCCTCCGTTGTTGCCGCACGGCTTCCTTCCGGACTCACAAGGGGTTGGCAGGAAGTTTTCTTCTTGACACCTTAGCGTTTCTGCTGTGCCGAAATAGCAGCCTAGCTCTTCCCCACAACAGATGTTGGGCCCAAAGCAGTGGCCTCGGTTTCTAGGACCGCAGGAGATGCACTGGTGGGGGAAAACAAGAAGAGGACCCGTCACTTTATCCAAGAGGTTGGACAAAGTGGTTGTCGAAACCCTTACAGCTGGAGAGACTTCCACTGCGATCACGGTCAGCATTAATGAATCTATCCTACATCTTTCCTATGAAACCATACAGCACAACATTAAAAGTGCAGCCTACCAATAAAACACAGTATTTGGCTTTCTTTCTCAAGTTTCTCTTGTCTGCCTTAACCAGCATTTTTCAGTTCTCCTGAGCACATCTGGCTGAGGATGTAAACCCCACTGAACCTAGTGGGATTTATTATGGCATAAAGTTGCACAGGATTAGGTTGTAAAGATGTTTCTAAGGACGGTGGTAAAATGTTTGGCCTTTTTGTTTGTTTCTTAAACTGTCGTTCCTTGGGTCCCATTCTGGAGTCTGTGAATATGACTACAAGGAAATGTCTCCCACGTTGTTCTGGCTTTGAGGCAGACTTGATCTGCAGGAAGAGTCCCTTAAAATAAAGACTTACAGGATTCTTTAAGCCGCAGAACCTTCTGCAAGACTACAGTTCCAAACCTTAAGAAAAAGGTATTACCAAACTATAACTGTTGGAGCTTTTGCAACCTCGCAGGCTGCCTCTAGTAGGTGTGGTTGGGAGGGACCTTTCTGGGTTGGGATGACTGTCAATCTATCCAGCACTAACCAATCACGGCTTCCTGCCTCTGAATTCAAAGCGGGCCCAGCAACTCTACTCTGGGCTTTCCTCTTCTCTTTTGCCTGTTGCAGTTTGTTATCTGTTTGCTATTATTCTGTTCGCAACTGTAAGTAATGAAACATTTTCCTCAACAAATGCCTGAGAGTGAGTTAAGTGAGCTCCTGGCACAGTGGTTAAACCGCTGTACTGCAATCCAAACTGTGTCCTCTGAATTCAAAGCGGGCCCAGCAACTCTACTCTGGGCTTTCCTCTTCTCTTTTGCCTGTTGCAGTTTGTTATCTGTTTGCTATTATTCTGTTCGCAACTGTAAGTAATGAAACATTTTCCTCAACAAATGCCTGAGAGTGAGTTAAGTGAGCTCCTGGCACAGTGGTTAAACCGCTGTACTGCAATCCAAACTGTGTTCACGACCTGGCGTTCAAATCCCAGGTAGCCGGCTCAAGGTTGACCCAGCCTTCTATCCTTCTGAGGTCTGTAAAATGAGTACCCAATATTTTTGCGGTTCTCTTTCTTAAGTGGTATTGATAGGACTAGCAAGTTACCAACCATTATCCTTGGCTCCGTATCTCCTGATTGCTCGCAAACCATTTATTTCCCCCGCATCTTATGTTCCCCCATGGCTTACCTTTCGGACTTCCATGTCGAGGACGGAACGCTTCCCTCCGATGGGGCAATTCTGGATGTAGCAAGCAGAGGAGAAAGCCAGCAGCCAAAGTAGGCAGAAGGCAAGCGTATGATACGACATGGCCCGTCTTTCACCCTCTGCTTTCTCCGTAAAGCAGTAATGGAGAAGCCTTCAGTTTTTTACCTCGGTGTTTGCAGGTATATATATACTGTATATTGCGGGACTGGTCTACGTAGCCATACGACCACCTTTGTTACGTATTTCTATTTAAAAACCCAACTCATCACCTTTCATACCAGAGGTCTCCGCTAATAAGCCAAGGTCACAGGCGTGAGGTCAGTAAAATATGGGCAATTTTCTCTTTCTCGTTTTCCCCCAAACTGGGCAGAAAATGTCTCAAAGGCCAAGAGTCTTCCTTAATTGAAGAAGTCTTTGATGTCACCAGAGTGATGAATACTTTTTCTCTGGCCTTTTCAGGAGATCTGAAATGGAAGACAGTGCTTGAAGCGATGTGTACTTTCAACCGGTATGAAACTATGGCCGGCGCCGTAGCCCTTAGTTCGATACCTTATGATAATGCCTCCCATAATTTGGGGAAAGGGCGTCCTTTTGGTGAAAGGGGGAAACCTCAGGACTTCTCTATTCTGTAGACTTTGCTTTTCTGTTTCATATTCCGAAAAAGAACATTTACTGGCCCGTATCTAATAGCGCCACTACGCCAGGGCAGCTGTCGAAGCAGAAAGATGATGGCTTTCCCATAGTTCCTGTTGGGAGCTATCCCGTATATCCTTGAAGCAGCAATAATATCACAAACATTTGGGGCAACTAACATCGCGTCTTGCGCAGTATATGTCGAGAGTACACTGATATAGACATGATATGGGTATTGGTTTCATTGCTGTTTTGACTTCTCTGCCATCCCATACTGCTTGGAGCACTTTCTTGGTGGTTTACAACATAGGATTCAGTGTTTGTTGAGCAGTGAGTTAGGTCTCTGGCTGCAGAACCAGAGAATGGGAGTTTGATTCCCCCACAGGGCCTCCTGTGAGTACAGCCAGCCTGTGTGGCCTTGGGCAAGCCACACAGTCTCAAGGTGCCCGCAGGAGAAGGGAAGCGGAAACACCTTCTAAGTACTTTCTCTACTTAGAAAACCCTTCGAAAAAGTCACCATAAGTCAAAATTGACTTGATGGCATATGGCACATCTTTTTGATAAGTTTTTCAAGTTGCAGTATCAAAATTGACCACTAAGGGGAGCCAGACACCATTTATCTGCGTGTCTCTGTATTTTGCTCTGTATGATTGTTAGTAGCAATAACGCAGAGGAACACACTGAATTGCGTCAAGATTGGAGCAAGGGTAATGATAATGGCAACCTAGCAGCTGAGAAATATTGAGTAATGGAACAAGTTCCTTTAAAAACGCAAGATTCCAAGTTCTACATACAATCCCTTTCATTGCAGGATTGCCCTTGTAGACGACTGGATACGATTCACTCCTGGGAGCAGTACCTGAGGCAGCAGGTTAAAACTTTGCTCTTCCCCCAAGCATGCCGGATAGCTCAGTGGCTTAGGAATCTGGCTGTGGAGCCAGAGGTTGGAAGTTCGATTTCCCCCTGGGCCTCCCTATCTCTTCCCCCACGGGACCAGCAGCGTGCCTGGAAGACCTGTTGCCATTATTCACGAAAGTGTAGATTGAATATTTTGTTTGTATTGGTCTAAACAAACGTGTCACTTCTACCTTTGGTTCCCGGACAAGGGTTGGACCTCATGACGCCTAGGGTCCCTTCAAGCACTGCAGTTTTAAGATTATTATGCATATTATTTGAGGAAATAGAGATCATAGATTAGTTTATTTTTTACTTTGTTGAATTGTTTTAATATTTAAACGGATTTAATGACTGCACCTGACCCTGAGATCTTAAGATATATATTTATCTTCAGAGATGTAAACAATTTAATTTATAAAATACAGTGAGTTTCCCAAGAGACTATTGATATGTTGGTAAAACACTGTTGTAGAATGTATTAGTCTTGTAATTTAGTGGGACGGGAATCACACTGGCTGAAATCCTGTTGCTTAGTATGTTTGACTCCGATGGACTTTGACTCCTACTCCAGGGAGGGCGACTTGAGTTGTGGAACTTGCTATCAGGTCGGACTTGAGTCGCACCATTGACTCAACCGAGACTGTACTTCAGGTTATTTTTCAATGTGTGAGACTTGACCCGCAACTCGGAACCCCCTGAGCCCTCCCTTTTTTTGGTGGGGAGAACCCTTGCTTTTAATAGGAACTCAGACTTGAGGTTCCAAACTCAGGACTTGCTACCAAAGATTTGAACTCAGGACTTGCTACCAATGCCTTGGGCTCGGACCCAAATATTTGCTAACATCCTTGGCCTTCTCTAGTTGTGACCACACGAAGCGACAGAATTTCAGCCAAGATGGCTGCCTCCTACCAGGATACAAAGCCTGTGATTAATATCAATTAATAATAATGTTAATGAAGCCAGACTGTTGCCCTTGTGTCTTTGGACCCGACCTGTGGGAGCATTAAGAAGCCATTTCATAAATGGCGAGCAAGGACTTGAAATGCTTAACTGCATTGAATACATAAGCTTCGTAATTTATCCGCCTCGTCTTTGGCTTGGCTAATTAATCATGGGGCTCCAAGTCATCGTCTAGAAAATGGCCTTTGCCACCTGGCTTGTTCTGCGTTGATATTTGCCACTTAAAGCATAGTAGATAATTCAGAGGTCAAAAAGGAACTTTTTCACTGCCCTCCACTGTAACAAGGGTCAACTGACTGACATTACCTTGTAAGTACTCTTTTTTAAAAAAAAACCAAAAAAACTGAAACAGCAGCAGAGAAGAATATGTTTCATTCCGTACTAAAGAAGTATAAAGTCACTGGACAGAGAGAGGCGAGGAGATCTCAGAGCCCAAACGAGGACCAGCCACCACGCCTGAGATGATCCGTGATGCCATTTGATTGCACCTCACTCACTCACACAGACAGCAGGAGTAGCTAAAGAGCCCTGCCTCAGTGATAGCAAAGCGGATAGCTCCTGTGCTGGTGCCTCAAGCCAGCCAGTCAAGTCACAAACGTGTCTACATTGAGACAATATGATTGAATGAACACTGGCGTGTGCTAGTAAGGATACACTCATGATGCCAATACAAGATATCTTGCCTGTAAGGGGGTGCTGATGAAGAACTGTGGGGGCCCTTGACTGAAGAAATAGCAATGGATCCATGCAGCATAGTCTCCCACCTCTCTGTTCCACTTCTCAGATTTTCAGTTTGGCAGGGAGGCAGGGAGGAAACTGGTAGGAACTTTGGCTGCGCACCAGAGGACGAGCAGTAGATGATGGCACTGAGTTCTGCTCCACACCCCCAAGTTCCAGAACCCTTTCTTTCCCCCATTTTTCTGTTTCTCCCTCTATTCCAACCCATAGAGTTACATATAAATACTTTAGAACATGGAGAAATCAGACAAAAGCAAATTGGCTTGAAGCGAACCAACTATGTTTTGTAAAAGAAACAGGTTGGAACAAATGGATGCGGATGCTTGTTCACACACTCCTTGCCTCTCCCTGGAAAAAGTAAGAGCAAATCAAAATAGCGTGAAGGCGGAAACTCCTAAAGATATCTAGGCTGCTTGATCATATGTTTTATATTCATTGTCTCTCTGTCTCTCTCCACCTCCTTCCCTCCCTCTCTTTCTCTCAAGTTCAGTCTCAAGGTAGCTTGAAACCATGTAGAGACATCAACTTACATCCAGAAGCTAGCTCCACCTCCTTTGACTACCTCTCCTCTGCATTCCAGTCCTGCCTTAACACTTGACGTTCTATAAGAGGAGGATTTTTTTCCCCAACCCTGGTGGGCAGAAGGTGCTGCATGTGGATCTCCGAACATCGAGTCGCGTGAGCAACGCAAGCTTCGGCTACTTTTTCTCAGATGGGTAAGCAAGTTCATTTTACTTCTACCAGTTCTTTCATGGAGCCATTCTGAGGAACATAGGCAACACCTCAGCTTTCTTGATGGGACCACGAGGGAGGTTGAGAGCACACTTGTGCTGTTGTTAGAAAGGTGGCTTCAAAGGTGAACAGTTAGGTAGTATTTTCCAGAAGCAGTTAGGTTAGGCATCTGATGGGACCACGAGGGAGGTTGAGAGCACGCTTGTGCTGTTGTTAGAAAGGTTGCTTCAAAGGTGAACCGTTAGGTAGTATTTTCTAGAAGCAGTTAGATTTCCCCATAGTTTTAGCCTCACATCCTTGTTCAGAGACCGAAGCGAATTCTAAAGACTCTTGGGACGTTCCATGCTCTGTATGTGTGGAACAGTAACCATAGACTATGTGCATTCCTAAAAGTCTTATGCCTGATCTATCAAAGGACCTTTTCCCTTTGTTTCCAGATTACCACTGATTAATCCATGGATTGTGTAAAGATCTGAGAACTTAAGCCAGCCAAACTAGGCTCCGTATAGAGACTTTATCATTCCTTCTTACAATAGGTAGTGGTAAAACAGGAGGACAATTCTCCTTTGTTTTGGGAAGTCAGAAATAATTCTAGAGAGGCATTGATTCCCAGACAGATTTTGTCCCTGATGGTCGTTTTAAGTTTTTGTAAAATGTATTATATGCCGTATTTCAGAGAAAGGTCAGACAAACAATTCAAAAATAGGATAACCAGATAGATTTGTTTCATTCCTGGTAAACTCACCTGAAAAGGACAGAAGGCTGTTCAGTGGAGGCAAGGCAGAAATGAGTTTGCCCCAGAGATTGGAAAAGCTACTTGGATTATGGATTACACCCAAAAATAGCCACTGGCTTTTCAGGCTAAGAGGGAGTTGGGGAAAGTGGCACTTTTTCCAGAAATGAGTTTTGCATCCTGGGGGTGCAACCCTGACAAGGAGTGATTTTCCCTTCACGTTGAATAAAACCATGACTTTGAATAAAAGCAACTGTTGGTCGCTTTTTCCTTTTAAAAATACTCTGCGCGTGGCAAGAGGTGAAAACCTGGGGACGCTGTTTACCGCTCTTCACTTGACAAGGTTGTAGAATGTCTACCTTGTAAGGCATTGTTTTGTGTGGATTCTGTCACAAAATGCTAAATTTTGGGAGACTAAAATGTTTTGTTTACCTGGAAGAAAGTTAAAGGAGGG